AAACGACAGCAAAAGCTTTCTGCCAAAAGCTGCACAGCCCGACCTTTGTTTACAACTTTCTAAATAAAATAATTGATTGAAAATTTAAATGGTGTGCTATTGTATCTTGTCTCTGGTGGGGGGGGGGTACGTTTGTTCAATGTAGGGGCCCCCAGGTCCCCTCTGCCTGGGGCCCCCAAGGTCTTCCTTACGTTTGTTGGCTTATTTATACGATAAGACAAAAACTCCTGGATGGATTTTCACAAATCTTGATCGAAGGATGTGAAGGATTTCCCAGAAAATAATTTCTTGTTGTTAAGCAGGTGTTGAGACAGCAGATCTAATGTTTGATCAGAGACGCTCTTAACCGAACAAAAACAAGTGTCTGGTGCTGATCTGTGAACTGTCACATCTTTTTTATGTCCTCGTCCTGCTCAGAAACAGAAACATGAATTTAACAGCTGCGAGCGTCTCGTCGACACGTCGCCTACATCCTCTGCCTTTCTGCTTTTCGCACTTTCTCTTCCAGTGACGCACAGATTCTGACACTCTCCCAGTCTGTTGGCTCTTTGTTGGAGTAACCTTCATCCTCGCTGGTAATCACTGCTCTCACATGAAGGAACCTCTTCCTCGGTTTCCCCTCAGCGCAGATGTGTTCATCGCCTCTGTCTGCCCTTCACCTCCACAGCTGCATCACAATCAGGGGATCAGGACGGAAAAAAGAGGAGAAACTGCCGAGCACAGCAGAGAAATTCATCAACGAGGTGGCGGTGGTTGGTGTGTGTGTCTGTGTGTGTGTGTGTGTAGGTGTTAAAGGGATTCTGCAGTGTGAAAACTGGAGGACACAAGCTGCTCTTCAGGCCTCTGACTGTGCTCTTAATTCTTCATATCTATAATTATAACCAAAACTGAAATCAACTGTGAGATGAAATAAAACTGTTTCTAATTAAATCCAAACGTATCAGAAACACGATGAACAATAAATAACATCTTTGAGAACTTTGTGCCCTTTGAATTTTTAGTTTGGTCCAATCTACTTACATGGAGGAGGCTGAGTTTGTGACCTACGCTGCAGCCGGCCACCAGATGGCGAGTGGGACGCTTTAGCTCTTTTTCGTGAGCTGTCATGAGCTGTCATTTCTCCATCACAGCTCCTTCCGAATGAGCATTTTAGCTTCCACACTTACATCACATGACCATTTACATACACTGGTCATGTGTCGTAAACAGGAAGCGGATTGTTGACTCTGCGGTTGGTTGCTTAGTTACAGAACAGGCCTGCACATCTGGATGGAGACAGTGTCAGGAAATATTCACACTCTTGACTTGGAGCAGAGCGAATGTTCTGGAGGTCCGTCGACTTGTTGTTTTCACACCTTAATCATCCAGTGAAGCACCAACGCTGCTCCACACACACACACACACACAC